GGGTTTAGGGGTTTAGGGTTTTAATGTTCAGGGTTTAGGGTTTAGCTTCCGGGCCTCAGAATTGGAATTCATGTGTTCTAGTCCTAATCGCATGAGGGTTTTCGGCAGGGTTATGGGACACCGGACCTAATCCTCAAGTGACTGGGCAAAAGCGGTTCCGAAAGGCCACCAAACTTGGCGGAACCTGGACATCAGATAAGACCACTGAGGCCTATGCTTACGCCCTTAAACTTAAACTTAAGATCTCAGCAACCCAACATATCGCAACATCAGTAGCATTTTTGATATCAATTTCATGGCCGGTCTGCCTTCCCTGGTCCTTCAAAGAGGTCTGGTCTTCCCCTGCTCCTACTTCGAAAAGTTGCCTGTGAGTGTCGTCAGCGTCATCGTTATCCCCCTCCTTGTCCTCTTCTTCCTCCTCCTCCTCCTCCTCCTCCTCCTCCTTTCCGTCCTCATCTTTCTCCTCCTCCTCCTCCTCCTCCTCCTCATGCTGCTCTTCCTCATCGTCATGAGCAACAAGGATAGCAGTAACCATCAGTATAATGAGCCTAACCCCGATAATGATGGCCAAACCCTGCATCCCTGAAACCGATTGTTGCAGCGGTCATAATCACAAGGACGGTCGAGGCCCAGTCCTTGCAAGCAGCGCCAACTTGAGTCAGAACCACCTGACCATCTAGGGTTCAGGGTTTAGGGTTTAGGGCCGAGCTCTGGGTTTAGGGCTTATATTCTAGGGCTGAAGCTGAATCAGAACTATCTGGCAGCTTGGGGTGCAGGCTCTATACGGGGGCTCAGGATGAGCGCTGAGGGCTTTGGGCTGCGTCGGTCTTGCAGTTCATTGAGGCAAGTTTGAGGGGCGAGGATTTGAGGACTGTCTTTGAAGGGTCGAGGGCGCAAGGTTTGGGGGGGGAAGCCCTGAACATGAAACCAGACAAACTAAACCCTCGAACATTAAACCCTGTAAACACTCAAACCTCAGCCCTGAACATTAAACCCCATTCACACTAAGTTTCACTAAACCCTAGAACATTCAACCCTACAAACACTGAACCCTAAGCCCTGAACTCAAACCCTAGAACATCAAACCCCATAAACACTAAACCCTGAACCCTACAACCCTAAACCCTAAACCCTAAACCCTAAACCCTAAACCCTAAACCCTAAACCCTTAAACTCTAAACCCTACCAACAGCCCCAAGCCCTTGGAGCGCCCTGAGGCCTCCATGCCGAAGACGAAGCTCGGCATCGCCCGCAAGGCGTGGCGAACGTCCAAGGACCTTCAGGTCGATGTGAGATAATGTAGGGGCCTTAATAATTAGAATAGGGTTTAGGGTTTAGGGTTTAGGGTTTTGGGTTTAGGGTTTAGGGTTTAGGCTGTGAAATAATACAGGGGCCTTAATAATTAGAATAGGGTTTTGGGCCCCATTATACTATAGTTATCCTAAGGAACCCCCAGAATAGTAGAGCTATTAGATAATGATTTAAGCCCCTACATTAGCTCTACGGATTGTTTTATGGGGATCCATAAAAGGTTTAGGGTTTAGGGTCGGGGTTTAGGGTTTGGGGTTTCGGGTTCAGGATTTAAGGCTTAGGGTTGGACGGGTTCTGTCAAAAGGGATCCCTACGGGCTTAAGGTCTCCATAATGTTGCAAGTTTGGGGTTTGGTTTTCACGCCAATTCCGAGGCGCTACAAAAAAAAACAATCAACTCCTGAAGCCCGCCCCAACTCCCTAAACCCGACAACCGCAAATCCCTAATTAGACCCCTAAACCCATAAACCCCTAAACTTCTAAACCCCCAACCCCCAAATCCCTCAACCCTAAAGCCCCGCAGCCAAGAACTGAACAAGAACCCCCAAAATCCAAAAATTCCCTAAACCCTAAACCCTAAACCCCTAAACCCCTAAACCCTAAACCCTAAACCGTAAACCCTAAACCCTAAAACCCTAAAACCCTAAAGACCCTAAGACCCTCGCCCGGGGCCTTTGGACGTCCGCGCTGCAGTCCTCGGCCAAGAACCGACAGGTCATACACCGGACCTGATCCTCGGAGGGGTTTAGGGGCAGGGTGGAGGGTGTGGGGATTAGGGGACCTGAATTTTGGTTTAGGGCTTATAGGGTTTATAGGGGTTTTAGGGGTTTTAGGGGTTTAGGGGTTTAGGGGTTTTAGGGGTTTCGGGTTCAGCAGCTCCGGATCGAGCAGTTTCTAGTCGAGCTCAACTCCGGAGATCATCCCGCCCACGCAACATTAATGCTTGCATTA